TGGTATGAACGTTTATGATTTATAAAAATAATCTTTATGTTATGATGCAATCTAACATATGATTTATCAGTAAATATGTATATGTCTGTTTAATTTTACATCTGTTAGCAATCTTTTATTAATTTTATATTATAAATATTTAATTTATCTTTTTAAAAATTAATTAAAATCACAAATTTAATTAAAAATAAAAAATTAATGTTGCGAGGATTAATAAATAAAAAAACAAATTTAAATAAAGTATATAAAAATAATTATTATTAAGCGAAAATTTAGGCAAATTTTAACAGAGGTTAAACTTGAAAATAGCTATGTTACTTTTGAAAATTGTGATTTAAAGATAAAACATGTTTTTCATATTTTTAGGGTGCAAATATGTCAATATAATATCGACCAAAAAATAATAATAACTAGAATACTTTCAATGTATAAGATCTAATATATGTTGTTATATGACATAAGATTAACTGAAAAAGATATAAAAGAAAATATTACTAAATAAACATGCTCAATGAAAACGTATTCAACAGTCACCTTAAGACATTTCACAAATATAGTACAAAAGTAATAATCTAGATCTAATATAATCTTTTAATTGTTTCTTTATCTTTCTTATTTAATCTTTTCATTTGTTCGTTAATTATTTTCGAATTTTAAATTAAAAAAAGTGAAACATCAGCGATAAAATTACTACTCATTCTAAAACTTACGCCATAATTAAAAATACTTTTCTTAAACACTTTTTTAAACATTACGGTATCACAGTAAAATAGTTAGTTGTCGTTAACATTTTTTGTACAACAAAAATGATTAAATAAGAATTCAAAGAAAAGCAGTATTTTTGCAAAATTGAAAATTAAAAGATAGAAAAACTTGTGATTGCGGAAAAAATAAAATTTATTTGAAAGAAAAAAAAAGTTTACTCTCATACAATTTTAAGTAACATTTTTAAAAATTATTTTGATGTTTTAGTAGTTAACGTTTTTGGTGTTTTACATTAAAAAAAGTTTTATATCTGTTTAACGGGCAAAACGCAATTTTCATGTCTGATACTATCGGCAAATAAACAACTAAAACTAAGAATGGTCTCTATGTTGCACTCGTTTTATTTGAAAAAGTTGATTTACTATATTATCGCTTATTTGGATGCTTCTGTGGAACATTATAGTTTCTTTTCTTGTTATTTGTTCATGTCCAACTTTCTTGTTGGTTTTTTGATTATTTATTAGAGATTAGTATGAGTCCATGGGATGAAATTCATCCTAAAATTTTCTTCTAACACATTAGTCATAGGTTTGATTTAATAGCCCGATCTTTATGGGCCGAGAGCCGCTTCTGGGTCCTGTAATTAAAATTGGTTAAATAATTTTTACTGAACATTTATTATTTATAATTTTTTCTTTAAATAGTTTTTTCCCTAAAAGGCATCAATCATATTTAAAAACGTTTAGTTATTGTTACAGATTGCTGACTGTCGGGATCTAAAAAGCTTTTAAAAGAATTATGTTTATTTTGAGTGTTGTTGTAATCTCTCATATGAATATCCTATCATATCGGTATTTGTCGTAAATTTATTTATAGTTATAAATAAATTAAAATAAACAAACAAACACCGATTTGATGAATACAATAAAACAGTTCACTTATGTTTCACTAGTGACTGTAATTGTAACTTTACGAAACTAAAATTTTAGATATTAAAAGCTATGTAAACAAACAAATAATAATTAAGTCATGGATCATGACAATGATCTTTTTGAATTACTGGCCAGGTTATTTTAATTTATAAGACAACTTTTATATTCATAAGACAGTAAACTATTCCGTGGAATTTGTTAGTAGAGGTAATAACGTTCATACTAACACTATTGAAGGCAATTGGTCAGGAATGAATCGCAATATTCCTCTTAGACGCAGAACATTCTCTTTTATCAAAATTTATTTATTACGTTTCATGCTACCTAGAAACAATTCTGCAAGCTCTTAAAAACTTGATATTCCTTTCGTTGTTAATAAAATACTAAATGCTAAAAAATTAATTTTATAGGTCTTTTGAACATTCTATTCTACTAGCTAAAATTTAAAATTTTTTCTTTGTTGTAACATTTAAAATTTAGGGCTAAAAAATTTTATTTTGGTGTATATCAAAAATTGTGCAGAACAGGTTATCATCATCCGCTTATGTCGCATAAGCGTTGCATCAGTAAACACCAAGGATAAGTCATTCAAATTTATGTCAAATTTTCGAAATACTCCAAGCAATTTTTTCTCTACAAGAAGAGAATTTAAACAAACATCTTTTGGAAGCGCAAAAACAGATTTAATGCTGTGATATAATACGATAATCTCAAAACTTTGTAACTAAGAAACGTTTTAAAATCCTTACAAACTGACATTTCTCCAAGAAGAATCAATAAATTATTATTATATACTTGCAAATCTACAGTCCGTTACATAATCTTATGACGCCTCTATTATCATTAAAATTTTTTCAAAAATTGCATCAATATACCAATTTATTGATATTGATCCATTAAATTTTTTATTTCTCCCGGGAGTTAACTCCTCATTTATTCTATTACCAGATATAATTATTGTTTTTATAAATTTGTAATATTTTTTAAAAAAAGTGGTACATAATCTTACGACAGTTTAATTTTTATGGTATTTAATAATCAATTAACAACCACTGTTTCAATCACTTATTTAATTCTGTTTTCCATCGAATAAATAAGCTTTTTACAGATATTTGAAGTAATATTGTGCGAATTTTCAGAAATTGATGCTTTAAATTTATTTACACTATCATAGGGTTTACCTTTAGAATAAACCCTTCTAGAAAGTTCTCCACAAAGATTTTCTATAGAATTAAGATCAGGAGAATATGATGACCAAAACATTATCTCGATATTTTTGCAAGCTAGCCAACTTTTTGTAGATACTGAAATACGCGGTCTTGCGCTATCCTGCCGAAAAATTATTTTAAGTAAATTTTGTTCATTAATAAATGGAAGTAAATAGATATTAAATATATCTTAATATTTTAAACTATCTATACTTCCTGAAACAAAAGCCAATTTTTATTTTTTGAAATAATTAAAACAACCCCAAACCATGACTGAAGGTCCTCCCATGGCTCAGCGAGAATACACAACTTCTTTTGCTTTAATACCTGCCCAATAATAATTATAACAATATAGACTATCAAGGTTAACTTTTTTTTCATCTGAAAATATCATTTTTTTCTATCTGGTCCCAAAATTTTGATATTTACCTAAAAATATTATTTATTTTTTTTATGTTCAAAATTTAAAGCAGGTTTTCGGCAACTTTTTTTTCTTTTTAGTCCGCCATCTTTTGCTAAAATTCTTGTTATGGTGGATGGCGTGTTTGCCAGGAATTTGTGCTGTGGCTAAAAAGCATTCTAGGATGCTGCGTGAAATATGTCTACGTAAAGTGTTTTTATTGAAATCGGACTTTGTACTTGTAGAAAAATTTTTGTTGTAGTGGCTACCTTAATTCATCATTTTCAAACTAATAATTTTCTTATTTATATTTATTGTAAATCAATAAACATATTTTTTTAGCAAATGGTCCAATTTATTAATTTAATCATTAAAACGAATGACGTTTCAGCATGATATTGTAAATCATTGGTCACCCTAAATTGTGGTATAAGAATTATACCACAGTGGATTTATGCACAATTAAATTTAAATTATGCTTTAACTTATTCGCCGTTACATTTTTACCACTAGCAATTTTAATTAATCTTGACCGCGCCCTAAAAGAGGCCATTTTGAAATGACCAGAAGGCTTTTTTTACCATAATTTATAGGATCTTTTATGTATTTAGCCATAATAACACGTGATCTGCTTATCTCTTTGCCAATTTCAAGAAATTGACTTTTTTTGCTTTCTCAGCAAAAAAATGCCGGCCTTCTTAGAATCATCGAGGGATGGTTTCCTACTCATTAAGGGTTAGCAAAAAATTCTCTTTAAATCTTTTTCCCGCCAAAAAGATTACCAAAAATTTAACTGTTGTAAGATTATGCCACACTTTTTTTAAAAAAAATCCCAATTTTATAAAAGAAATACATTCTATCAAATTATAGAATAAATAAGTAACTAAACTTCAGTTTAAATAAAAAATTGAATCAATGTCAATAAACTTTTACATTAGTGCAATTTTAGTAGAGTTTTTGATAAAAACGTGGGTGTCGTAAGATTATGCCATGGGCTGAAAATTTCTAATAAAAAGAGAACGTTTTGTATTTTAATATAATAAAAAGATGACACTTTGTAATTTAAAACAATACGTACACACATAAAAACATAACATACAATTGAATAAGATCCAGCACAATAGCTTTATTAAATTTGAGTTCTATTTTAAATAGAACACTGCAAGCTAGTTTTTAATAAAAAAATAAGAAAAAAAGAAATCAAAATTTTATAAATAAATAAAAACAATTTTACCAAAACAAAAATCTACATTTAAAGCCTTATAGGGCTTTATTAAAAAAAAAGGTATGTTTCTTAGGACATTTTAGCTATAACCCCAATGTCGTAAATAAGAATAGTTTCCTTAAACACTTTTTTAAACATTACAGCATTACAATAAAACATTTAGTCCTTGTTATTATTTTTTATACTGCAAAAAATTATTTAAAAGAATAAAGAGAAAATTTGTATTTTACAAAATTAAAGATTAAAAAAGAGAAAAACACTACTTTTGAAAAATTTAAATTTTAATTTGAATAACAAAAGACTTTATAATTTATAACAGTATTTAGTAATTTTTCAAAAATTATATGTTAATAATTTACTTGTTTGACTTTTTGGTGTTTCGTATCATGAAAAGTTATCTACCTGTTAAACGGGTTAAACGCTGTCTGAAGACAATCTAGTTCTTAAAGAATACATTTTTAGAAAACTTTTATTGGTGAATTTGAATTTTTAAATATTTAGTGGAAGTAAATTTAAAGATAAAATAAGTTTTTTAGAACCATTAATTTTTAATTGTAGTTCAATTTTTGTTTTAGATGCGCTTGCACATTCATTTTTGAAATATTGTTACAACTTTGAAGTCGAAAATCTAAGGTTGAGAAAGATGCGGCTGAAATGATTAAAAGAATATTCAAACTAAGTAAATGTAATATCCAACCACATAATTTTTTACATTTTTCCTTTTTATAATATTTTTTCAAAATGAATCTTTTAGAATTTTATTTTTTATTTTAAAAAGTTTAAAAAGAAGGGTTACACGCGCACAGAAAAAAATGAAGAATTACGATAGACACTATGATTAAGAATTCACAAAGATAGATATCAGAAAAATAAACAATTTACAAATAGCAAATGTTCAATATATTTATATTAAACACGTTTATTTAATAAAAATTTCTTTTATGCTTTTTTCTCTGATCTTGTGTCAGTTCAAAACGTGAACTAGATTTCCATATTAAAATTTCATAATTCTTACTATGTCTTGGTAAATATGATAAAAACATATTTACAACTATAAAACATTATATAACATGTTTCATCTTTTAATCACAGTTCTCAACAGCAAGAGATTTTTAATTTGCTTCCTTTTGGGGTAATACTTCCGTTTTGGCTTGACCCGAGGTTACCACAAAATATTTTTAGACTTTAGTTGCCGCAAATACTTAAAAAACCAAATAAAAACGCTTTTGATCTTATTCAAAAACTAAATTATTTGTAAGCTTTGTTAATAAATGCCCAAAATAGCTTATTTTGATCGAAAAAGATTTTGCCATGATTCGACTTTTACGTGACTGTGGTTTTAGATATAAGATAGTACATATGTAGGTTTTGTTATTAAATTATAAAAAGGACAATCAATAAATACTTTATTAAATATATAGTTAGATTCCAGACATTTATATTTGTAACTGATAATCATAATACGTTTCCTTGTATTAATTGGTTACGTCAGAAGCCATGTTACAAATATGAAACTGATTAAACATGAATCTTAAAAAATAATTAGTTCGTGTCTATTTGTTTTAAATTTATTTAAATAAAAAGCTATAAATAGATAGAACATTCTCTAAGGATGGAATTAAATAAAAAGTCTTTTAATTTTGGTAGTTTAGTCGAGTACTACCTAAAGAATAAATTCACTGTCAACTATTTACGGCAATATTCTTTTTCAATATTATCCACAATGTTTTTTAAAGGGGAAATAAGCCAGTCTATTTCTAAAGATAAATGAATCGCAGATTTAAAAATAGAAAGTAAACTACAATCTACATCAATTGAAAACTCCTGTAGGCTCTCTAATCTTTTAATTAGCATTTTTATAATTACAACAATACATTCAAGCTTTACAGTTCGTGAAATATTTGT